CCCCCCCCCCCCCCCCCCCGGCCAGCTGGCCTGCTGTTTACATTTCAGCAATCGGTTTACAAATTAAATCCTGTTACTTGGTATGACTACTGTTATACCATGTTCTACAGTTATACCATAACTATGCTGTTATGATTCTGTTCAGTTTTATGTAAAGTTTTCTGTAATAATTTGAAGAAGTGGCGATACGTTTGTTATGTTCATTATGTGAATAGGTAAAGCTTTAAACTGTTTTTTGATGCTGTTAATTTTCTCAAAACTGTAATTTTTGGAAGGTGAAATTAAAAATGTTGTTAATTAAGTGTGTCTTGAATGAAAAATACCACATGTTTAAAAGTATAAAAATTGTAACACTATGAAAGAACAGATCTTATCTTATATTTATGTTACACAAACATTTCCATTGCATTAAAGAGACAAATTGAAGACAATTATTTTAATAAATATGAGGGTTATGAGGGAGTCCCTGAAACGTTTTCTCCCCTGTAAGGGGTCCCTGAACCCAAAAAGTTTAAGAACCCCTTCTCTATAAAATTTAATTAAATTGTGAAAATAATATTTTCAAGGGAAAATACAGTTTTTTTTAATCCATCGGCTTCCAACCTTTTAGTGTAGCAGCTGATAGATTGTTTTAAATCTGCATGTTCAAAGTTAAAATGAATTATCATCATTTAAAACTGACTTCTACGTGAGCAAAAGTTGGAAAGCTTTATGCACATATTGGTGAATATAGAAATGACTGTGATGTAAGAATGATTTGGGTGAAGCTGCTGTAAAGAAGTTGTAAACCCCAAACTAAATATTTCTCCACAGAAAGTTCCCAAACAGTAACTTCTTTGTAAGTACTGGTGCATGTCTTTGAAAATCATTGTAATGTTAGCACATGGTTTGAAACGACCACCTACTTTTATTTTTGTGATTTTATTCGTTCATCATCTCTGCGTTTCCTATAGTCGGTAACAATAACTTCCGGAAAAGCATTTTCACCTGTTTAATTTCCTTTTCTGCTATAGAATTTCCAATCTGTGATTAGCATTTCAGCCTGGACAGCAGCTGAAAGGAGTGGCTTCTTGAATCACTCTTTGCATAATCAATTATAGGAAAAACCAAGCCAGGGTAATAGGCTCGTGCACTTGCACTCAGATTCACGATCATTAAAATTCATAAAGAAAGTCATCAAGCATACAGATCCTTTTATACGTGGCTCTTATGTTATGTGCAAACACATTTCTCCAGTAACTGCACATTGTTCATTTCAAATAATCATTCTCGTATGTTTCACTGGATTTATAACAAACTTTGGTTTTTGGATATTTGCTTTGTCCATCGTAAAAAAAAAAAAAAAAAAAAGAAGCTTCTTCACTGAATATCAATCTGTGGTCTTTGACTGCTTTGCTAGAGAAGTTCAGATGATTCCTGAGAAAGAACAAATACTTGGTAATGTTGTTTTCTCCCTTCAGTGTTGCTGATTGTTGCTCAGAGAATCTGCGTTTTGCATTTTCAGTTGTGTAAATGCTACAAGCATGACATGCATTGCATATACAGTAGGCCCTCGCTACTTCGCAGTTCGTTTTTCGCAGACTCGCTCTATCACGGTTTTTCAAAGTAAGATTGGACATGACACACAGTAGATGAGCTGCACGATCAGCATGGGATTTTTATTTAAAATACATTATTTTAAATT